CAAGTGCATTTCTCAAAATGTTGAAATATTTTGTAGCTTTCATAATGAAACAGACACAGGTGTTTATTGCTTTGGCACATCTTGTTTCTCTGATGTTTACACACCTACATTATGCCTCAGGGACGCAGTGAGAACTGTATTTATGAGTGAACTTAATGAAGGCATATCAACATGTTGTGCAGTAAGTAACATGAAAACAGCTAACATGAAACAAAGGCATTTTAGGAGTAAAACAAATACCTCGTTGAAAAAAAGGTTCGTGAGTCCTTTAGAGTCCTTAGACTGTCTGCTTTAGCTTCAGTCGTCGATAATCAATACTTTAATGTAAACACCGGAGCCCCGTGAGCGGTGTACGCTCGTGTGCAGTCCGTGAGAAAAAAGAGACCTCTCACCTGTTACTTCCGCCATAAGTGACGGCGCATTCTCGCGATATGAGCCGTTTCATGTCTCACTACATTTTAACAATAACAAATGAATTTACTATACATCAAATCAACTCATATTGAACTTTTAACCTTACTTGAAATAGATTACTTATTTATTTATTAACTTATTTATCTTATTTATTTATTACAAGAAATTATGAAATGCATTATGAATTAAATACACATCATGAACATAGAGCATTCATGTTACAGCACTTTCATATTTCTTTGAAGCTCACACAATAATGATAGTGAAGTAAGTGATATTGTATTAAAACAGCAAAGTTCAGGTTTAAATTCAAAAAATGTCAGTCATACGTCTTTTGAGGCAAAAATACACTACTGGCACCATTTTTAAAAGTCCAGAGGAGCAAGTACTACAAAAGTAATAACTTGTTGTATTAATGTTTAGTCCTCATATGTAAAGTCATCGAAGGTATGATTAGAGTAATATTTGGCCACAATATGACACAGTTCTTATTAGTTCTGCATTAATTTGCTGTCATGCAAATCTGACATTTTGAAACATGCAGAAGCTTTAATGTCAATCAGGCAAACTGTGGTTTTTCATGCGCATGTTGTAGGCGCAAACACGATCGAGTCCAAAGTTGAATGGTTTTCAAGGTCTGTCTGTGAGGCCTCAAGGGTAAAACCCCACATTCATCTGGATCTGAAATCGTATCAACACACCCTGTGATGCTTCCTGCAGATTTATTCTTAAACTCTGTTTTCGTTTTTTCTTTTTTTAAATAAGAATGTGTAAATCTGGCCCTGGATTTGGCAAGAGTGTGTGTGTGTGTGTGTGTGTGTGTGTATGTCCCATGCAGTCATGTCAACAGAGCAATCACTCTTGTAGAGGAGAGTATACACTTAGAGGGTTTAGCTCTGCAGGCAGGTGATGATGGACAAGCCTTTCAGGGCTCGATTGAGGGATGGAAAGAGGCAGAAGGAGGGAGATGGATGGAAAAGAAGGACTGGAACAGAGGAATCATTAACTTCCTTTGTACAATTCCCTTCACACATGTAGGTTATGGATAAGTAAGTAAGCAAAAGAAGAAAATAAATAACTAAGTAAAAGAAGTAGTGTTGTGTAGTGCATATCCGCTCCATTGTCAGCCAGTCTGGGCAGAAAGCCATGGCTGAACAATCCATTAGTCCAGGAGAGAAGGAACTTCTTAATTGCCTCCTCTCTCTTCCTCTTTTGTCCTCCGCCTGTCTTTCTCTCCCTCCAACCCCTTTTCTGTTGGCTGAGAGGACAGGTACAGGAAACAGTCATTCATTAACAACCCAGAGCTCGTTAACTTCATTGAAGCACTCTTCACAATATGTGCAGTTCCACCTCTGAAGGCACCCCTGAGTGTATGTGCATGGGTGCGTATATGTATTTGTTAGGAAGCTAGAGGTGAGGGGGGGGTTAAAGGGTAAGGCAGGGCCAGAGGAGGGGTGTGTGTTGGTTTTGTGACCCGGGGTCCTCGAGCAGATGAGGGGAGAGCTGGTGAAAGAGACCTTAACAACATTAGAACTCCCTGAACCATGTCACCCACAAACAACCATGGGGTGGTCACAGATATTTCACCTTTCAGAAAGTTTTCACAAACTGTTATCCATTAATGCACTGGAACAAAACTTTTTAAAGGATATTCAAGCACACAGAGATTGTCAGATAAAAATACAATGACACACTCTTCGAATTCCACAACCTAAATTTGGTTTTAACTGCCACATTATGATCCGCATGGGCAACACCTGCGGCAGTCTCACCTGTGGCTCTGTGTTTTCATCGAGCAGCAGACTAAAAATGTCAAGCTCAGTTAGAAAACTTCAAAACATGACACACAACACCTTGCCACCCAACTTTCCAAACACACCATGTCATTTGTAAGAAGCCAGCAATCTTCTTTGCACTGGTTGGACAGCATGCAGCGGAGTAGTGTGCCTTTATTGGCCTTAAAAGATAATGACATGCCTACTCCCTGGGTCTAACCGATGATCCAAGGTCAGTGAGTTCCTCAGCCTCCTTGAGGTTCAGGTTGAGATTTTGGCTTGGGACAACGGATCCTCTTATTTGTATGTAGAAACAACAGAAAGGCTGCATCTGGATATTTGCAAAACATAAGTGTTCATCTACATTGCAGAAATATGTGGCAATACATTAAGTGCTTCAGTTGCAGGTTTCCTGCACGGTGAGTCTAAAAGTTTCTCTGACAAGAATGAGAATAAATAGCTGCCACCCATACAGTTGACAAGGCACTCTCCCTCCCTCTCTCTCTCTCTCTCTCTCTCTCACCATCAGTGCAGCAAGCTCAAGGCCACATGCCCTTTTTCATTACACCGAACAGGCCAGCTGTATTGTAACTACAACCAATTTCCTTGCAGTCTATAAAGCTGTCAATCAAAATCATACGGAACAGGGAGAGGAGGCGGGGGGTGCAGGGGCGGAGCTGGGTGGGCTGTTGGGGAGGGCTGCAGGGCTCCAGACCAGATGTCAGGGTTTTATACTGCAGGACACGATGGAGGGAGGGGCAGGGAGGTGGGACAAGAGAGGGAGGGAGAGGAGGTCGTGTTTACCTGTAGCAATGCTTAATAGGGAACACCAGAAATGTTTTGACTTGCATTGAGGTGATGTTTGTAGTACCTGGCTGTCACTAAAACAGTGCAAAACCCATTTCTGTCATTAACAACTATTCATTAAAGAGAGTGTGTATGAAGTATGTGGAATTTTAAATCAGAAATTAAAGGAATAGTTTAATATTTTGGGTAATATGCTTATGAGGCCTAGATGAGCGATGTTAGACGATAGCTAGTTAGTTTAGCTTAGCGCAAAGACTCGAAAAAGGGGGAAACTACTAGCCTGACTCTGACCGACAGTATCAAAATCCACCAACCAGCACCTCTAAAGCTCAGAAATTATCACCTTGCACTTGTTTGTTTAATCTAAAAGGGCAAACAAACAAAGGACAAAATGTAAAGCACAATTTAACACCAAAGTGCTCTTGACCCATGAAATAGTGCAGCACATAACCCTGTAACACCACAACATGCAGTTTTTACACAAGGTTATCACTATTAAACAAAGCTTCATGTTGATTAGTGAGCTTCAGAACTCCTGGTTGACAACTCTTCTTTTTTTACTTTGAATAGAGCCAGGTGACGTGTTTCTCCTCTTTTCCCCAGTCTTTGTAAGTGAAGCTAACCTGCTGCTGAATGTAGCTTCTTATTTACCATGCAGGCATTAGATCGTGTCAAACTTCTCATCTAATTTTCTGCTAGAAAGCAAAAAAACAAAATAAAACAAAACAAAACAAAAAATGTCAAACTGAACCTTTAAAAGAAACAAAACCCTTTTGAAACAATCAACTCACAGTCAGACCAAAGCAGTTTTTTTTTAAGTTTCCATTTATTAAAGTTATGAACAAAGAGACAAATAAGTTATAATATTTTTATTTGTTAGAATTCTATCAGTGTTTGAACATTAATATTTAGAGAGCTAGTACAATTTTCTACTTTCATGGCTAGCCTTTGACAAACCCATAGAAACAGCTGTCTCTCTCCAAGGATCGGAACATAATACTGAAGGGGAGGTGTTGATGTTGTCTCACAAGACAGTTAGCAATGAAAGTGTGCACTGTAAGGTTTTTTTTTCTGTTATGGTATATCATTACATATAAACTCTTTAAAAATATACTTCTGTCAAATACCTTGACAACTACTATGTACACTACAAAAATAAATTTTCATATAAATAAATTATATGGCATACATTTATCTTTGTAACTGAAAACAGCATACATCCACGCCAACTGAGACCAAAATGGCAGTCTGGAAGAACCACTGATTTTTTTTCCTTTTAAAATCCTCTAAGAGCTATGATGAGACCTGTAGTGTAAAATGTTATATACTCTTTTTTTCCTATTTAACATTAGTAAGCACTTTATACAGATCAAACTCCATTAATGTAAAAACATTAAACTGTAATAGTGTTTTTTTTCAATAGACATAAAAATCCCTGCATTTGTTATCCACTGGCATCACAACAATAATGAAAGAAAAAAACATGTTTTATATTACAAAAATATAAATATCGCAATTGAATATTGAAAACAAAAACAAACGAAAAACATTTAAAAATGAATAAAATAGTTGCCAGCTATGATTCTCTCCGCTACTGCCAATGTGACATTGGGAGAAAACAAAACGAAAAACAAACAGAACAACCTATTTCATGCAAGCAGCTGACGTAACATGGTGGACAGAAGGACGAAAACTGCAAAGACTTCTGGGAAGAGCTACATGTGTTCTACAGGAAGTGAGAGTGTAAAAGTGGAGGCAAACTGAGGTGTGGAGGGGGTGAGTGAGGGGGTCAAAGGGGCCTAAGTCTGGAACTGAAGGGGTGGGGGGTGCAGGGGGTTGGTTACAGGTATGCATGCAGACATAGACACACATGCACATATAAATTGGCCATTGCTGGTAGAGAGAGGTGCTGGCGGTGTAAACTCTGACCCCTGAGGCTCTGGGTTGTGCCATTTGGCAGTAGAGGGGGGTGGGGGTGGGGGGGCATCCAATTAGTGTCATGGCGTTATGTTGTGGATTTTTATGAGTTGAGGTCAGTGGGGACGGCTGAGGCCAAATTGGGGCCAGTTGTCTTTACTGTCACTAGAGGAGAGCTGAGACAGAGTAAGAGGATGGACTCATACACAAACATAAATGTTTATACACACATATACATTGAGACACACATGGAGCACATCGTCAGGCCATATAGGGCTTAGCCCTTAGCAGGCTGTGTGGACTAGCTTATTGGTTGTACAGAAATAAAGAGCTACTTGAGGCGAGATATTCCTGTAAATGAAGTTTAAATGCAGTCAAGTGCGATGTTGAATCGGGTCATACAGTATACAGTCTGAGCTTTAGCTTATCCACTACACATCATCACTTAGGGAGCAGAGTCAGCACCCTGTATTGACCCTGTTCCAGAATCAGTAATGTGAATGTCCCTGTAATGGCAGAGTGAGTTTCTGAGGTGAGTTTACTGCTTGTATGTCAGTATACAAGACAGAACATGATTTCAGCCTGCTAGGGTTAAACAATACATAACCTCTTACAGTAAAATACAACCAGAGAGCAGCCTAACAGACAGTGAAACAAAGCTGAGAGCAGAAACAGGTTCCAATGCAGAGGCGATAACTAAACAAACAAAACAAAACAAAACAGCTTTAAAATTTCTTCATATCTGCTCATCTTAAATAGCACGCATAGCGTGTCAAGTTAAACAGTAATTGTTTCATAACTACCACAGGTTTGTGATAAAAAATTAATAGTTTAACATGCGTACCTTTATACAATAATAAACACACACACATAAACACACACACACACACAAAAATACCATAGCCCTGTTTGATAATTCTAACAATTTCCCTCATGTTTTAAATGAGTGTAAATGTTAGTCTGTTCTGAGGATGTATCTGATGTATAAGCCAGAAAATAATGGGGCTGTTTCACATCACACAGCCCAACACACACCTACTACACACAGACACATGTACACACACATATACGTAGACAGATCACTTCTTTTGTTTAAAGAGACATTTGCATAGAGTTATAAATGTATATTATTTTAAAAAAATATTTTGAGCAGCAACAGTGAATGCTGACAGGTATTTTTGTCTAGATGAAGCTTCCTAATGGCACAGATCCACAGATGAGTGAACAGTAATCAGAGATCTATCTCTCTCTCATACACATGCACACATTTACACACACATGCACGCACACACGCACACACACACACGCACACGCACGCACACACACACACACACACACACACACACACACACACACCATATAAAATGGCAGCCCCAGTCTGTTAACATGAGGAGTTGTACGGCTCCTAAAATTATAGCTACTTTTTGTTCATATTTACATATGTATACATCTTTTAAATATAGATAGAATTATCTAAGACAATAGTCCACTGGGTTACAGTAAGAATGAGCACCATGACGGCAACACTGGCAAGTTTCTCGCTGCTCAGGGCCGGAGGTGAGCCAGGCTGGGCTATGCAGAGCTGGGCTGTGCCAGACCGGGTCAGCTGCTTAGTAATACAGAGAAATCCATCTTTGGCCGTTGTACTTCTGTTCTCCACAACTGGAAACAAAAAGGATATTGTAGTGTCAGTACTTTATGATGACCTTTCTAAACAGACTGTTGAACTAAACATGGATTTCCTGAAGTAGCTGAAAACTCACCTCAGCTAGCCCGTCTGCCATGGTTGCTCTCAGCTGCCTCAAACTCCAAATCTTGGAGCTCCATGGCCTCCACCTTGACTCCTCTGGCCCCTAACTGGGTTTCCAGTGGCACATGTGGGTCCTGAAAGGCAGGCTCTGGCACCTCCGGCCCTGATGGGCAGTAACTGTCCGTTGCAGTGTATCCTGGGTAAGAGGAAGCGGGGGGGCTCTGGCTGGATATGGGGGCCGGGTGAACGGCGACAGTGACTGAGGCTGACGCTGTTACCGTGGTGATGGGTTGGCAATACGGGGTGGGATTGGGGTGGTGATGAGGGAGGTGGTGAGGTTGTGGGTTGTGGGAAGAGCGGGCTCTGTGGCCTGCTGAGTGTTCTCTATGGCCATGTGAGCCATAATGGCCCCCAGCCTCAGTAGCAGTTTCAAAAGCGTCCATGCGCGGGCGGGCTGGGGGTGGGGCCTGCCAGTGCAGCTGGCTCTTGGGGTTCCTGCTGCTGTGGCGATGAGTTGCCCCCGGCCCAGAATCACAACCCTGAGAGGAGACAGACTGAAGAGCAAGATAATAAGATATTAATATCTGTAATGTGAGAAACAAGAGAAAATCATATGAGCACACTATGGAGAATGTTTTCTTACCGAAGACACAGTATAGGCCGGAGGGTCAGGCTGTCTGGCTGAGCGCCTACGCCCTGATCCTGCTCTCCTCTCCTCCTCTGGCCTGGCTGCTCTGCCTCTGCTGGTCTGGAGGTGGTACTGCTGCTCCTCTGCTCGAGGTGGTACTCTGCGTGAGGGCAGGTTGTAGTTCTGTAGCTCCTGGCTTATACCGGACACTGTGGTGTTCGAGCTGTATTCTGAGTCAGACGAGTCTGAAGCTGCACCAGAGGTGGTGGTGGTGGCCCCGGTGGTGTGGTGAGGACGGACTGAGAAGTGAACCACGTGAGGAGGGGCCTCTGGGGATGGGGTGGGTAAACGGCTACGACCATCGACTGGTGATACCTGGGAGGTAAGAGGAGGCAGCAGTAAGAAACTGGTGTTCATCAGCTTGGAAAAAACAGTTGAAGAAGCCCTTGTATGACCAGGTAAGGAATCACTTTTATTAAAAAAAAAAATCCACTTTTTATCCTTAACTTAGATTCCACTTTCTTGCAGTTGTATTTTTTTTATCTCTTACCTCTGGATAGGGTCCAAAGTATGATAGTAATACTGGGAGAAGGACCAATCCATTCAGGACTCCAAGAACTGTGAGGATGGCCAACACAGCAAAGAAATACCTGCAATAAAACACACATGCAAACAGAGTTCAATGGGAGGCATAATTTAACTAAACGCAACATGTAAGGATGAAACACACTACAAGCAAATCATTCCATTAACTTCTGACTTCCTATGTGATACAACATGAAAACATTAACTAAAAATATAAGATATAGCAAACAAATTGTGCAATTTGATGATGGGAACAAAAAAAAACCCCAAAGTTGCTCAGACCAGCACAGACAGACAAGAAGAGAAACAAAGCAAGCGTATAAACAAAGAAAATACCTGTGCAAACCACAGAGGTTTAGACGTGGGGAGACGTGCAAGATCAACCCATCACACATGCCCAAAATAATACTTCCACAAAGACACTCAAGCCACTCCTTAAACACACACATATATATAAACCCCCCCACAGACAGGCAGGCATGCACTGTGGTTTTGAGGAGCAAAACAGAAATGTACCTTGTGTGTTTCTAAGTCCTGCCAAAGAGGGTTAGTCTTAAAGAAGCCGCAGAGAGAAAAGAAAGGGGAAGCATAATTAGCCAGAGCTGGTTAATTCAAAGGCACAGGAGGAAAGAAAAAAAAAAGAAGGGGAGGTTATTGGGGGCGAGGGTACTCTCTCTTGGGTGTGTGGTGTATAAGCAAACATGGAGAAAACAAAGCAGTGAGGAATGTGGAGGGAGGGGGTTGAAGGGGTAAGAGGGGGTGGGGGGCAAAAGAGGACAGGGGCCTCTCTCTCCTCTCCGGCTCTAAGAGAGAGAGAGAGGGAGAAGCAAACAAATGAAGTGAAGGGTATAGAATTTAAACAATTTAGTCTAGGAAGAAGAGAAGGGGACCCTCAGAGCGCCACCCCTGCCTGGCCTCTCTCCCTCTCTTTTATTTCTTTTTCTCTCTTCTCTGCCTGCTGTTGGGGGGTGGGGGGCAAAAGAGGACAGGGGCCTCTCTCTCCTCTCCGGCTCTAAAAGAGAGAGAGAGGGAGAAGCAAACAAATGAAGTGAAGGGTATAGAATTTAAACAATTTAGTCTAGGAAGAAGAGAAGGGGACCCTCAGAGCGCCACCCCTGCCTGGCCTCTCTCCCTCTCTTTTATTTCTTTTTCTCTCTTCTCTGCCTGCCTCACTTTTCTCTCCCTCCTTTCCAGCTAAGCCCCTGTGAAATTCCCGGCCACTCCACAATCCCCTCCGTCTAATTAAATCTCCAATGTATCAGGTAAGACCCCCCAATCTCCCTCCCTGTCCAATCCAACTCCCTTCATTAGGGAAGGCTTTCCTCCTCACTTAGTTCTCCAGTGGAAGCTCTCAGGTTATCAGGGACACACTGATGAACCATGAAGGGGTGGGGGTGGGGGGGCCACAAGTGAGGAGCACAGGTCCTTGTCTATCCAGCATGGGTGGCCTCACTTCCCATGTGGAAGCAGCAACGACGAGACCAAGCTAGAGTTATTTTTACACAGTGCTGTCGCGGGAACGTTGATGTGACCTGAGAACAGGACTTCACGTTGTGAGCTCAGCCGGTAGTGCGTTGGGTAGACAGATGGATTATCACAAGATGAATCAATTCAAGGATAGAATACATCCTCTAAATCAAGTCTGTTGTTGTTTTCCTACTTAGATTAATTCAAAAAGAACAATGCACATTATACTAATGCACATGGCATTTGCACCCTTCAGGTAAACGGACAAATACAGAAAGCACCTGATCAGTGATGTGGGTGTACACACACGCACACACCTTACATTTATGCAGCATTTAAAGCCCACCAACCCATCCTTCATCATGCTTTTATTAGATTATCAGAACTGTTTTTATAAGTGGAACTGAAATAATTGTGTACGGTTTAGATTCCCCATACGCACCAGGATGGACAAACGCCACGTCACCTTTGGACACATATATGGACATACATGTAGGCCTACACATGCACGCGTGCGGCCCACATACCAGGCTGAGTGCCCCCGCTAGGCTGTTTAGAGTGAAAACATTCACAGGGCTGACGGGGGGAAAGTCAGGGAAACATTTCTTTCGGCGCAAGCAGAAAAATACGAGCTGGGCCTGTTGTTATTGCACCGTCTTGGGGCGCTGCTTTGTTTGCTCAGACAACAGCAGAACCTTTAAATGGAGGCCCGCGACTGAGCCAGAAACCAGAGCACACCACTGGAGGTGAGGAGAGAAAGTCTATAGGCCTCCCTGTGTTTGTGTGTGTATGTGTGTCTGTTTGTATGTGTATCTCTTGAGTGTGTATCTGTGTGCGCTCTCACTGGCAGGCACGCCATCATTGACCCCCATGATTACAAGGTCAGGGCGCAGGCTCGAGTGTGCGTGTGTGTGTGTGTGCGCATGCATGTGTGTGTGCATATGAGGGGTACTGTGTGTGATTGTGTGCTTGTGCATGCATGAGCACATGACAGAGTTTGTGTGCTTGCAGATCACATGGACTTCAGTGCTCCCTTTTTCTTAAAAGGAGCAGGTCAAACTAATTATATAGCTACCTCATCTAGCTGCTACCAAGAATGTGTGTATATGCAGCCACGTAAGACCATACAAGACTTTAAATTATACACTGAGCTCAGTGGAAACTTCTCATAATCCTCCAGGCTTGAGAATGTACAGAATCATTAATTTTCCTCCCTCGTATGGCGGCTGGTCGCTACCTTTCTGTCTGATTCTTACGAGAGGACACACACACAAAAGGAGCCACCGGCGCAGCGCCCCCACAGAGTGTCGGCTTTAATTTCCACTTCTCCTGTCTTTCCACAACTGCCCTCTTGCCCCCCACCCTGTTACTCCTTCCCATGCTTATAAATGTCTAGCGAGAGCAGTTAAACTAGCTGAAGGAGATTACAAAAGCCAGAGGACTTTCCTGTTCCCCCCCCCCCCCCTTGCCCTTTTTCACTTTGCTTCCCTCTGCTTCTTCGTCTACTCCCTCCTAGCCCTCCTCCTCTTTCTCCTGACCTTCAACTCTCCATCCTTTCCCTGGTTTCCCCTAAAATGTCAGGCATGAGAGACATTAAGGGGGAGAAGAGGAGGATGAAAGCAAAGACACAAGGGGAGGGAGAGGTTGGAGAAAGATAAAGGCCTTGTTCATGAAGTTTCTTGGAGATCAAGCCCCCAGAAATGGACAAAAAAAAAGCAGGTATCTGTATGGTAGCTGGAAAAAGGATGAGGTTTACAGGTTTACAGAGAGGGGGTATGAAATGGAGATGTGGGTGGAAGACAAGAAAGAGATAGAGGGAGGGAACAGAAGAGGAGAGCGGCCTTCATGCATGATTTGTATCTCAGGTAGATTCCTGTGTGACACACAGGTTGAGGCATGGTCTCAACAGTCTACTGATGCCACATAGACGCCATACATTAACCTCTGGAGGTGCGATCCTGTGTCAGGCTAAATGAATTTAGCCTTTTCTAACCAGGTTTGACTTGGACTCACCTGACGATAAAGTCAAACTCAGAGCCCGCAAGCATTAGGACACCTAATAAGGTGGAAAAGGCTCCATCGAGCACCGGAGCAAACATGTGCTCCAGTGCAAGCACTGCCCGCTTGTGACGATCCCCTATGGCAGTCAGGAACGCCTACAACACACACAAACACGTTGATGTCTCATTATCAATGGGTTCACCGTTTCAAAACCATTCAAATTCTAAACTTCTATTTAGTATTTGCTGACATTATTGAGGACATTACCATTCTCACTGGTAAACTGCATTAGAGTATTAACGATTCGTATGTGTGAGCTAGTGTCTAAACCTACCAGGGCCACATGGACGGTGAACTCCACTCCAATGCCCACAGAGGCAATGAGAATGACCACGGGGACGGCACTCAGCTTGATTCCCATCAGCCCCATGAAGCCAAACAGCTCTACGGTCATGAGAGACAGCACCAACACCTGAAGGGAAAGGAGGAGTTTCTGTTAGAAAGGAAGGGGGTTGATAAATCTCTAAGAAAAGTGATTTTATATGTTCAATCAAACACAGGACAGAACAGAAATGGGGTCGGTTCAGGCTGAATAAAATAAATTTAAATAAAATATATATATGTTTGTGTACTTAATCAGCCCACAGCTTCAGTTTGAAGAAGACGTTGATCTGTATAAAGCATTCCTTACAAGCATTTTTCTACTATCTAGTGTTGTAGAGCTGGAAAACATGTAAGTATAGTGGGTGGAATTACCATAAATGGAAATAATCTTCTACATTTTTGGTCTATAGTAAATAAAATATTATTCTCTGCGCATGCTGTGTGAATTTACAGCTGACCTGGACTTTGAATGTACACAAGACAGATAGGCAGCAATAATACAAGAGGACGATATGTGCAAGTATCTCTGTCTTATAGCTTATGGATCTGTTACATGTGGGTGAAATGTGTGTGTGTGTGTGTGTGTGTGTGTGTGTGTGTGTGTGTGTGTAAGTGGAGGCTTCAGAGTAGACCGGGACAGGAGCTGGGAGTAAATGCCATTATCAGCTGACAGGTGTCAGGTTACATGGGGCCCAAATCCTTTGAAGAGGGTTGAGGTGGGCACGGGAAGGAGCTGTATGTGTATGTATGTATGTGGGTGCATATATAAGTGAGCAAGCACAGAGTATGCACATGTGTGTCCATGAGGGGGTATTTGTGTGCGGTGCTTGTGTGTGAGTGTCTCAGTTTACACTTTATATATATATATATATATATATTGAAAAAACATTTGGTCCGGATCACATTCAGGGAATTGAACTTGAAACTAAACTTGACTATTTTAGGCTTTTAAGATCTTAGCAGACTTGGTTCTTCCTACATATCCCGTGACAGACAACTTTGGCAAAATTTTGAAGGATGAACCTGTATTTATTTATTTTTTGTCTTTTAGTTCAGTTTTCCCACAGATGTAATCAAATGTCAATCAAGAAGATGGACAGGAAGCAAAACCAGATCACAAGCGATCACTCTACATGACTCACTCATGAGACCCATTCTAATGAGAAGTGTAAACAGCAATCAATATCAAGTGGATTAGAATAAATCTGTATAAATCTAAACAAGGTTTAAACAAGGCCTCTGTCTATGTGGTTAAGATGTGTTTCAGGGAAAACAGCTAAGAGGGTTTAAGAGGGCTTAAAGTTTGAGGGTTTGACATTGTAGGGCTAGCAGTGGTCTGGTCCTGGAAAGACTAAATGGTTAAACTTAACGCCTCTCTATAACTTGTCTTTTGATCTTGCTAGTAAAGCCTGAAGGATGAACATGAGGTCCCCTCCTCCTCTGTTTAAGGGCTCGGGTGGCCTGGCCACTGCCTGTCGTAAAATACAACCCACCAGAGAGAAAAACCAGAGCGCTCCGTGTATGTGTTTCTGTGTGAATTATGTACCTGTGTGTTTACACGTTCATACTGTATGTGTGCAAGTATATACATGTCTGTGTGTGTGCTCCAATTGAGTGTCTGTGTGCTTGCCTGCGTATGTGAACGTGTGTTTGCATGTATCCTTGGAAACTTGCGAGAGGAGGAGGATGGAAATAAAATCAAACTTTTTATAGGTTTAGAGTGGGAGCGAGTTGCCTGAGCAACTTTGTGTCCTTTCCCCATTTATTTCAGCGTTGGTGTCTGGGAGTGTTGGACTAGACTAAACAGAGTGGCCCTAACAAAACAGCACAAGATAAACACTGGTGACTGGGCTACAATAACACACAGCAGCCCCTTCTCCCTTCCGACTCTCTCCTCTCTGAGATGCCCTCTGGACCACACATTGAATCAGGAAAGCAAGGGAGGAAAGCAGGAAAAAATTAATTTCTTTCTGTCCATGTTAAGCAATGGGCCTGCTTGTAACATAATCCATTAACCTATCAAACCAGCAATATGTTATGCTTATCAAAGTGTGTTGTCTACTGTCTGCTTGTTTCATCCAACACTCACTATGATGCCGGCGGTCCATGGGTTGAGCAGGAAGAGGGCACAGACCAGAAAGGTACAGGCGAGCACGACACTGATGGACAGCAGGAGCCAGTGGCGCAGACTAACATACTGTTCCCAGAACAAGAAAGGGTAGCCGTTGGGGTAGGAGGGCAGGCCTTGTCGGCTGTAGTTGCTGCATATAGCCCGCACGCTCTCGATGGCCTCCACAAACTGCGGCGTCTCCCGGAGCCCGTTGAGGTAGAAGGGGAACTGTGCGTATTCGATGGGCTCGGCGGCCGGGACTGAATGGAGAGACAATGAAAGGAAAGGTCATTTGTTAGGACGTAAAAAAAAAAAATGATACAACTTGATATTAATTTAGCTGTAATCACCAGATCATTTTTATTAGCAACTGATGATGATTTTGCTTTTTGGAAGCAGAAGCCATGTGGCCTTACAAGATGATGAAAGTCCAATTTAGAGGAAGAGATTACTGAGGAACATTAAGGAAGTAATCAGATAAATCATCAGCAGCAACGATGACATCTGCAGATGATATTTGTCTATTCTGATTAAATAGCATTAGGCTCTGATCATTTAGTGTATCTGCAGAAATAATTTTGGACTCTTTAGCCAAACCACCAATATCAAGGCTTTCCCTCCCTAATCCAACCTTGTTCCAAGAGCAGCTACATCTGTGGGCAAGTGTGCGTGCATGCGGGTGCGTGTGTGTGTGTGTGTGTGTGTGTGTGTGTGTGTGTGTGTGTGTGGCGGGGGTGGGCGGAGCAGTGTGAAACAGAGCTCCATTGACTCAAACCCAGCCAGTCTGTGGCCCAGCCTGGCTAATGAGGGCCTATCAGTTCCAGACACAGCAGAGTGTCAGAGCTAACGTTGATTCACGGTAATTACAATGTCAGAATCACCACCATTACCACACCCTAAACTTAGCACCGCCACGTAAAGCATAATATAGATGCATAAACACGCATACCTGCCTGTCATTCTGCTATGAAGTCATCTTTGGCGCTAACAAAACACTGTATTTATTCAGATTTTTGCTTGCAGTGTAATTAATAACACATTTCTGCATATGGCATATCGAAAGACTTACTCTGAAACTATCTATCTATCTATCTATCTATCCTTTTACTTATAAAAAAACATGTTTTTGCTCTGTCTGGTGTTGGTGTGAGTGTGTGAGTGTGTATATCCCACAGTGCCTGTAGGGTCAGACAGGAGCACTTGCTAACATGGTTTGGCCCATTATAATCTCAACTATAAATTTCTATTAGGATACAAGTTGGCTTTCAGCCAACACCAATCTGCTCCGGGGAGCTCCCGCACAGCCAAGCACTTCACACTGCTTATCCAATCATATTCCCTCCCTGTAAAGGACTTCCTGCTTGTTATCCAATTGTGCCTCCCACCCAAACCCAGTCTCTCCTTGTTATCCAATCATTTTCCTCCCCCGTGGAGCACTTCCTGACTTGTACCAAATCACCGGCTACAATCAAACAACAACATGACTGTACTTTTTTATGTGAGTTACAGTCTGTGTGTGTGGTAGGGAAATGAGAACAGGGTGTGTGTAGTGTTTGGGGTCACTGAGTTTTAATAATGTTTGTGCGTGTGTGCCTGCGTGTGTATGTGTGTGTGTGTGTGTGTGTGTGTGTGTGCTTGTGTGTGTGTGTGTGTGTGTGTGTGTGTGTGTGTGTGTGTGTGTGTGTGTGTGTGTATGTGTAATGCAAGGCCCCATGGTAGCCAGGATTATAGCATTCACCACAGGCACCATTAGAAGAACCACAGTGAGCCGTGTCTTGGTCCTCAGCCCTGCAACCTGAGCTCACACATACACAAACGCACACACACACCGCAGTGGTACAGTAAAGTCTACAACCTCTTTTAAAGCTAAGAGGCAGACAAGGAGCAATAACTCAAACCACAAGAGGTAAACAGTGCTCATATGTAGCAGCCGTCTTATGGAACCTGAATAAAGTCACAGAGACCAATGAGCCCCACAAAAGTTAGGCTTAAAGTTTCAGTTAGGGTTTGTAAATGCAATTTGTTCAGCTGTACCATGAAGCAGGTATGAACTTCAACATTTCAAATTTTTGCAATGCTTCATTTGTTGGAGCTAACAACATTATTATTGAAATTTCCTTTCTTAGGTGAAAGAAAAACTCTACTGCATTATACTGTCAGGCATCCTGTTTGCAATTCTACCACATTTTGTGAACTTATGGCATGCTGACTTACTGCTGAGGCGTGTCTCGGGCATGGAGTCAGTACGGTCGTGGAGCCACTCGGGAGGGTGTGGGCGAATGTTGGCCTGCGAGGCAGCGTACGCCACAGGATCATTGCTGACCCAGGCAGTTAGGTAGATGTAGAAAGCCCCAGGGTTGATGATTCCATCTGCATCCACTAGCCTCTGACGAGTCAACTGCAAATAGGAGAGAGGAGATGAATTAATGTTGATACCATAATTAAGTTTTGCTCTGTTGCATTCTCTTAAAACACAACTTTCAGATACATGCATTTTAGAGGTTTAATTAGGCCTTTCACATTTATACTTGGCGAAGCCAAATTTTGAAATTTGAAAATGGAATAATTAGTGAATGGAAAAAGTGCAATTGAGGGGAAAAAAAATTAGGTGGAGCTTGCATAGGAAATCATAATGCTGCCGTCAAGTATACATTGGACACAAAAAGGTATTGTGGAAACAGGACATGTTGAACCAAAACATTCTACAGGTGAGCTGACCACAGACATGCTTATTTATACACATGCATGAGTGCAAGAGAACGGAGCAGCTTTCAAAATAAGAGTCAAATATTAGTCCCTCTCTCTTTCCAACCAAAGAAAAATCAACAAGTGAAACACTGGTCGCCTTTCTGAAAATTCCCGTACCTCTCATCACAGCTTCCCAGAATTATCATGCCACATTAAAACATGGAAAATGCTGAATCAGCTTCTCCCTTTACATACAGTAGATATTGGCTGGCCAACCTCAGGCTCAATGTCCTGACCACTCTGAATAAATTTCTGATGGGGGCCTTGCAGCGCTTTTCTGTCAAGAAGCAGCTGCTGCTGACAAAAGTGCTTACAAGTCCTCTTCATTCTAAATTAGACATTTTGTGTTCAGTAGTGTTGCTTAAAGAATGCTTTACTTTTTGACAGTTTCAGCTGAGTAAAATGAATGAATGTGATATCACCATTATTAGTGTTTTTTTTGTTTTTTTTTAAGTAATGTCAGTCTGTTGTTTAGTTTACCACTTACCGGTAGGTCCAGACTGAAGTATCTCAAAAACTATTGGATAGATTGCTGTAAAATTTTGTACAGACATTCATGGTACTCAGAGTATGACTCCTTTTGACTTTGGTTAGCCCTTGACTTTTCCTGTCGAGCAATGAGGTTCACTTTTGTGGTTTTAGTGAAATATCTAAACAATTACTGAGTGGATTACCATGAAATCTGGTACAGACATTCAAGTTCCCATCAAGATGAAGTGCAATAACTTTGCTGATACTTTTCATTCAAGTTCAAATTTCAGTTTGTCAGTGTGACTATATGTGAGCATGTTAGCATGCTGATGCTAGCATTCTAGCTTAAAGCACTGCTGTGCCAAAGTATAGCCTCACAGAGCCGCTAGTGTGGTTGTAGACTTTGTTTATGCTCACAAACCCATAATTGAAAACACCAACAGTAATGCCCAAATATATCATAAGATTACTGATACCAAAGTACTTTGTCAGAACCATATTCACTCCATTAATATAGCTTAACTGTCACTCTCAGACCAAACCCACATTTCTATCTATTTGCAGATGGTTCCCAAGCTCTGTTTCAGTCATTTGCTGTGATGGCTGTGGTCAGTATGTAGACAAGAATGGCTGTCTCGCTCAGGGCCGTTACTTTCACCCTCCCATGTGGAAGCAGAGGAGTGTAGCTTAGCATTGCTACCTCCTGAGAGGTAAAACCATTACAGCACACCACTCTGTCACTCTGCCTTCTAGGAACCATAAATCCCTTCTTCACGGAGGCAGGGAGAGGTTTGGGGGTGAAGCTGGACTCATGGGGTTAGGTAGATGAAGAAAGGAGTAGGGTTTTTTTTGTGATGGGGGGTGGGGTGCTGGGGGGGTAGGGAGAGAAAAATTGCTTGAGTTAGCGTAACAATAAAAAAATTGGCTGGAGTCCCTGAGCGCGTCTGTGTGCAGTTAACCTGGTTGTTAACACTGAAGGAAATGCCACCCAGCAAATGGAGGAGAGCTATAAAAATAACACAACATCTGTACAAATGTTGCTCACACTTGCTTCTCCTGACCCCTACGGGTACCCAGAATGCCCGGCGCCACAGACCAACCCCAACCCTGAGAAGAAAAGAGCCCTTGATAGCGTTAGCATGGCCTTCCTTAACACTTTTCCACTCCTCCTTTTCTCCGTACCCACCTCCTGTACTCACTCTTCCAATCTATATCTTTCTATTCTCTTATTTTAAACACCCCCCCCACCACACACACACACACACACACACACACACACACACACACACACACACACACACACACACACACACACACACCATATGAGTGCTGGGCCAGGCCATAAGGAACGAATGGTCGCCCAGTACAGAGAGAAATGTTAGCAGCGACAGATCAAAGGCAGAACACCTCTGCACGGATCCATGGAGTGGCATATCAAAATAAAACATCTAGCTTTGCAATTTGCCAGGGTTGGAAAAGATCTGGTCCTCATTTTGAGGCACAAAAAAACAGCTACTGCTGTAAGTGCACACACAACAGACAAAAGCGGCACACACACTCAAAACATACACATGCACACACAGAGCTGCCTCAAAGAAACCACGTGTTTCAGCTTCTCTCATTCAAAGAGGACACAGCAGTGGAGCACGGAGGGAGGGAGAGTGAGGGAGGGAGGAAGAGACAGACAGAGAGTGCAAGAGTGATAGTGCGAGCAGGGGTAAGTGAGGGAGAGTTGGAGAGAGAGAGAGAGGGGTCAAGCGAGAGAGCCGGATTCCAGAGGATCTGGATTGAATTTAACTGCGGGATACGCAACAACTGTATGTCTTCAAGCTGTCACGGGAAGCCCAGGCAGCTCTGCTGGCGGCCCCCACGCCTCACGGCAAATACACTTCCCTCACAGGCACAGGAAGTGACGTCACAGGGCCGCACACCAGGCCTGCCTCTGCTTCCTGTCAGCTAGTGGAAGGGATGGGAAGAGTAGTGTGCTACTACAACGGAGCTCAATGGGCGAGAGAAGAAGCCCAAAACAAACAGCTAGGAGCAGAGAGGGGAAAAGCTTTCACACATCTGCAAACATGCAAGACTCAAGCAAAAATGAATGAATATGAATACACACGAGACTTGGTGGAGCTATGTGTCAAAGTTAATTATGTAAAATGATCTCCGTGTTGAAAAGGACATGGCTTGTTTTGTGTTTGGAGTTTGCAGAAATCCTGCCCAAGAATTTTGTTTTTATATTTCTCCTGTTTCTTATCTTCTGTTTTCACTGGTTCCTGCCAAAGAATGCAGCCATGCATCCATGTATGTTGTTTCTTGGTGGTGGTGCCAAACCAAAAACAGCATGCGATGCCCTGTCCAAGCTGAGAATGTTTCCTAAGCTCCGCGACTATAATCTTTTCTCTCTTATTTCCTCTTCACTCTTTCTCATTATCAACTTGTCAGCATCTTTCTGCTGACATAGAAGAGACTTTGATTTGATCTTCCACTAAGTTCCTCTCTGGACCGCCTTCTGAGACCTCAGCTGTGTCATTGTCGGATACAATCAGATCAAACACCCCATCAGTGCCACACTGGAGACGGGACTCACTGAACTCAACGCTCAACAGCTGAACTGGAGTTTGTCAGGTGATTAAGATAACTACCTCTGTTGTATACTCCCTTTCATTTTTCTTCTTTTGACTTCAGCTGCGGTGCGATGTCAGCAGCTCTACCAGTGTCTGTGCAGCCAGAAACTTTTTTGGAAGCACAATGTCATTGACGTCTTGTGGGTCTGCCAAATCTGGGTGCTTTTCTACCTAAATATTCATGTGCTACCCTCAGAGCACTGAGCAGCAAAATGCCGCAGCCCTTCTACGAAAGTAAGGTGCACGGACTTCCAAGCCATAGTGGGCAAATAACACAAGCAATACCTTTTAAGGCGATTTTTGTATATGTAATGAAATTGTTTGTCGTAATACATCAAATAACACACTACTGATGGTGTGTGGGAAAGAAGGAGCTTTTCCTTTGCTTTCTGTGGATGATTTATGTGAACCGAAAGCCCTTTGAACTCATTGTCTGTTTGTGACAATAACTGTCATGTCACTTTTAGTGGGCCCTGATGTTTGAATGCAACAAACCTCAAAGGTTCAACTCATTCAGCTGCACAGTTAGGCCAACTAGCTCAATTTATCATTTATCAAAAATACGCAACAAGTATGTTGTTGATAATATAAAAGGTGTTGGTTATAAATCCACTTCTTGGTGATTCCAGTTGATCTTGATTCTAATTATTCTTTCCCATGGGGCTTCAGAATCCAGGGTAATTATTTATAGAGCTAATGGGCCCTGCAAGCATTTCTGTTGTGCAGCAGTTTCAACCTCCCAACTTCACATACTATGAACTGTGGCTGCAATCCCAGTGTCAGACTGGAAGGCTTGATGCTAAGGAGAGTCACTGCAAGGCCCTGCATACATGCACATCACACACACACAGAGGACAAATAGTTTAAATGAAGAGTTAATAGGTTTTTCAGAGGCAGACTGCAGCCCCAGTGAGAGCTTTAAATTCCTAGGCTCGGTAAAGTCATCACAGACAGTAGATGAAGACGGACAGAGAAAGAGAAAAAGACGAATACAAAGAGACAGTTTTTCAGATGGGCATGCGTCTTCCAGCCCCGATCTCACAAAGCAAAACCGATATACTGTACTAGGGATGTCACAATAATAGATATTTGGCAGTTGGTATCTATACTACTGAAATTCCACTCTTCCCTACTAAATTTGATTCCACGGCAAAAAATAGCATATTGTCTGTGCAGCAGCCTCAGTCGTATTTCTAACACACACACACACACACACACACGGTAACATTTTAGGATATGAACATTTCAGCGACACAGTGAACGATTAAAACTCTCTCACATTGAATTGTGCATACAGATCTGGATGCCTGTCTTCGAGGCGTCTAGATAAGTTCGAGGTACTTGCCCTAATGCTCTGCGACACCGTGATGATCCAATTTAAACGCAAAATATCTGTATACACGAGTCTTGGCATGTTTTTTTTTTCCCCTCAAGTTGCAGCAGACCCATTGCTGTAGCTGTACCACTCCACTCCAATCACGCTGTGATTGTTACTGTGTCCTTCTTATTCTTGCCTTTGCGACTGGCGTCAGTCTAAGACACTTACGGTAAAAGTAAATCAAGTATAGTCACGTTTTCAAAACTTTGTTGTGACACCCCTATACTGTAAGTGCATCTATAACAGGACAAAACAGCTTTGACACTGGTGTCAGTATCTCTCGAGTCTATCCTCAGATTGCAGTCCACGGTATACAGTCTGCATGGTCTGCATTAAAATACAGTCTGTGTACACTTTCTCATATCGTAACTTTGAATAGTGGGAATAACTGACATTGGCTTTAATCCTGAACAGACCTGGTTGAAGTTGATGGGCTTGTCTCTGCGTCCTGTCTGCACCAAAAGCTTGTACGCCAGGACGCCATCATCAGAGCCATTCCTGTAGCTGTTGAGGGTGATGCGGCCAGCCTCCCAGTCCTTGTCAAATGCCTGCTGGAGACCTGCAGGAAACCACAACAAGACAGACTGGTTAGATGTGGATGTTTGAAAAGGTTACATGCCCTGTTATCTTCATTCTTTCTCAACAACACACTTACAAAGCCCAGTTCACAAGAAAACAACAACACATAACAACCCAGCACAGTACAAGAGAACATAACACAACACTGCAACCTAACCCTAACCCTTTAATAAGCCTGAGTGATGAATGTGATAACCCGGGTCCATTCCTAACCACCAAACAAGACTTCAAAAGCCTAAAACAGGCTCCTTTTGATTCAAAGCAATCATTAGGGAATATATCAGTAACATGTGTCTTCTTTTCTATACTATTCTCTAATCCATATGTGTATCACTCCCCTCCTCTCGGCTCTCCCACAAGGCCCATGCTGTGGTCCGTCTGTGGGAGATGTTGTTTTGGGTCTCGTTGCTTGGCCTGTCTGGCTCCAATTTGTCCCACCATTGCAGAAAGCAATATCAGACACAGTTCTCTCCCTCGCTCTCTCTCTCTCTCCACACACACACACACACACACACACACACAGACACACTCTGTGTGGTTCCCAGCCGGCTCACACACAGACTCACAGAATCTGTTTTATCGTTAGAGGGGGGTGGGGGAGTCAGTGAGTGAAAATGAACCCATTGCTGGACCGGGCTGACATGTGGAAGACAGTATTCTCAGTGAGTGGCACTTCACATTTCTTAGGAGCTGTCAGTGCCGGGTATACAACCAGCAACCCATCCCAAAGTGAATCCTGTCATCATACTAAATTAATTTAAGCTCCCATAAAATAGTGTGGTGTGATGTACTGCTTGTTATATAGCCAAATATTTAAGATTTTCAGAGTAATAAATTCTAATAAAAAATGACAAAAACTAGCACAAGCAGAACTAGTATGAGTTAGATGAGTATATTGGATAGTGTGCAATGCCAGCATTATCTGCACAGCCAAAGGTTCTAACATACTCTATATTGCCTGAGCCCAAGTATAAAAATATGGCCTCCCACTTCGTCCGCCTCCATCAAGCCCACTTATGGAGGACACAAGTGATTTTAATCAGCTACTGTCAGTGTCCATTTGGCACTCCCACCTACTTCTGAACTCCTGCCCAACATCTTGTCTCATGCAGATTCCTGTCAAAACTCAGAAGAAAATTATGATCTCAAAACGGTTTCATGAGAAAGTAAATTAGTCCCATGCCTGAACTATTATGAATAGCTGAATATATATTAAATGAGGAATTAATAACATAAAAATCTGTGATCAAACACTGACTCTGAATCATGTTGCTACATCTGCCCCACTTTGTTGTCAAAAACCGACAAAGAGGTTTTGACCAAATCGAATTTAAGTCTGGTTGCTGCGGTAATTATATATCAAGTTTAATTTTACCTTGCAGCCAGTCCCTGAAGTAGTGAAGCCACATGCGGGGCAGCTGTCCGTTGTCCTCCTTCAACACGTAGCGAACAGTGTGGAACCTCTGGTGGAGCTGGTGCAGCAGCGGCTGTTTCTGGGCGTAATCAGCCCGCTGCGTCACCACATACATGTTGTAGAAGGAGAAGAACTTGAACTGGGCACCGATGAAGTCGTACTCGCTGGTCTCTCTGGGAACAATGTCTGTCAACTCCAGGCCATCCCTCACCTGGGTGGTCCCGTATAAACTGACGCCCAGCAGGCAGAGGAACAGGACGATTACAACCACCTGGAAGCGGAAGGATGAAAATGGAGCTTCATCAATCAACACGCTGCACAGAGTGATGGCAGGACAGCTTTCAACTTGCACTGATTACTGCTTTAACCATTTGGCGTATTCTGAACAGGAGCAAAAAAATATGGATAAAAAGCATAACCCAAGGTGGATCTTAGCAACATATTCCAAAAGATGCAGTGGAGGAATTTCTCACAAAACTAACCAAAACAAATAAAGTGCACAAGTAAAATTATGAAGCAAGGAACTTGGCTCCTAATGATCTGGCTTCACAACTAATCTGATCATCTGACCACTCAAAGTTTCTTGCCAAAAAAAAAAAAACAACAAAAAAACCCAAAACAAAACAGAATTTTCCTAGAAGTCAATCATAAGGGGAGAACTGGATTAAGGCAACAGAGCAGTGCATGATGCAGTTTGGTAATATGGAGAAACACTTGACCGTATGATGAAAAGACCAAACTTTTCTAATAATGTCAAGCACACGTCACCACATGATTTCAGTTCTGGAAGGCTTTGAGAGGACTGGCCACCCACTAGACTGAGGTCAGACTGTGTGTTTTTGTGTGTGTGTGTGTGTGTGTGTGTGTGTGACTCAGTGTGTGTATAACCACAACCTCCACCCCAGATTTTCTCCTTCTTCTCTATTTGTTCTTGTGACTAACCCTCCTATTCAAGTTATCACCACGGCGAGAGTCAGCACTTAACACACTCTTACCTCACACAGAAGTTTTTTCCGCCCCTTTCTTTCTTCATCTCTCTTTTCTACAAACATGCACATGCAAACACACGGAGAAACTAAACTCACCTTGGTGGTGGGCTGCAGGAGGAACGGAGCGTAGTGCTTCTCAGCAAAAGAGGCCAGGGTCCAGCGGGAGCAGGGAGGCTCGAGGCAGCGCAGGCCCAGCGAGGCTTCTCCGAACTGGGACAACAGGTCCCGTGTGGAGCTGTTGTTCTCTGGGCTCTGGCCCGTCGATGATGCTGCATCGCCCTGAGGAACTGAGCTAGTACTTGAAGTCGGGGCAGCGGGAGGAGGTGCAGGGTGATGATGGGAGAAGGCAGCAGAACCTCGAGATCCACCATTACTCCGGCTCCCACTGTTGTTGTTGTTGAGATTGCCGTGATTGCTGCTGCTGCTCCTGCTGCCGTTGGGGTTGCTGCTGTAATAGTCATTGTTAGGGTTGCTCCTGGTCGGAGCTGGATTGATGGGCTGCACAGAGATCTGGGATCTGGGCTCAGCTGTAGTGTAGAAGGCCTGAGTTCGGGGGTCATACTCTGTCCTGAGCTGCACCGTGGACTGCATGGTGATTTCGGTCTGCTGCGCAAAGCTGTGGCTGCTGTAGGAGGGAGGGGGGCTGCTGTAGCTTGGGGGAGGAGTGCGATATGAGGGAGGAGGGGTGCGATAGGATGGAGGAGGGCTGTAGCGACTCCCGTCAGCCCCATCCAGGTACGCCTGAGGCTCGATCTGGATCACACGATTGGCACATGGGCTAAAGAGATAAAGACATTGGAAAAATGTCAGACCATGGACTGGTGTGAAAGAGTGAAAGTATATGGACACTAAACAGTGGGAAATTTGAATACACACACATCATCAGATTTTGTGTAATTGTTTTAATCATTTTCATGATTATGGTATTCTATAAACGTCTCTGCAGAAAAATGTATTCATATTCAAAATAAAATGCATTCAAACTGTTAAAAATCATCACTTTTATTAGCGTTCTGTTACTGCGAGCCTTATTCCTCCTCTGCCAACAGCATGAAATATAGAGCTGTGACCCAACAACACAAGGCAATTTAATAGTGTGTATGCACATCTGTGCTATCGCCGTGCCAACGAGCGTGCCCTGACTGGCAGGCAGACTGGCGAAGTTTAATAAAGACTGTGGCAGATAAACAGAAAGTCAAACAACCACGCAGCCCTACAGAAACAGACAACTTAAGTAATTAGGTTTTGACTGAGCAGGATAAAGGCGAAGATATCTCAGAGATAAATGTGTTTTTAAGTTATTCACTGTCAGATCAGAGATCAGAGGAAAACGGGAGCATGAATGAATGAACAGAGAAGCAATAACTTTCGGCAGAAATAAAAAAGCTTCTCTGTGTGTATGCCTGTATGTGTGTGTGTGTGTGTATGTGTGTGTGTGTGTGTGTGTGTGTGTATGTTTGTGTGCGTGTGTGTGCGCGCGCACACCTGTAGAAGCAGCAGAAAATGTCGAAACGTCTGTCTTCTCGTCGGTAGAGGTCCATGCTGAGGATGGCGGGGAAAATGAGCAGCACCATGGCAAAGTTAAACACCACAACCACTGCAGCCTGCGAGAAACACAGAAAACATTATGCTATTTTATGAAGAAGGTTCTTCTATCAAAGAAAAGGATGGTCTGTCGATTCACTATTAGTCACTTTTACACAATTGAGAAGTGATGGAGGAGACAGAGGAGGTGACACGATGCGTTCTGGTGGCATAAAGTCTAAATGTAATGAAAGCTTTTTCTCAATTAATGTTCCTGCATCTCCATTCCTGCACTAGTTCTGAATTACAAAACGATTGTGAAGATATTGTGTGGCCTCAAACAATTATTGTCTCTTAACACTGTGAAACCTTAAATATAGGCTACCTTAAAATAACACAATCTGAATAATCTGGCTTCAAGGAAAAAGTGCCTTTCAACACATTTTCAATTCCTCTCAAGACAAAAACTCTGAGTGTGCAGAGAAAAAGTGAGGCATATGTGTGTGTGTGTGTGTGTGTGTGTGTGTGTGTGTGTGTGTAATAGAAGCCAGTACAGTGTTGTGGTTAAGTATTTGAAGGTGGTGCACTGGAGCAGAGGGTGGGGGTTGGGGTTAGGTTGGGGCCCTGCCCAGAGTACAATCTGGATCTTGCGTAGTTGCCAGACCACTACAGAAACACACATACACACACACACACACTCATACACAGACACTCACATACACACTATCCCGTGTGTGTGCCAGACCACCCAAGGAGCCGGAGGCCCGCGGGGCCTGAGGTGATGAGCAGGCGGTGCGGCTGTACAGACAACACACACCCCTTACACACACATACACACGAAAAAAAATGCACATACACACAAGTATCTGCTGCCAGCTTAAAAAACTGTGCAGCCTCCTACTTAAACCACACCTTAACACCAACCAGACACACACACACACACACACACACACACACACACACTCACACTCACACACATCCTCGCCCTCCCTCATTCCACAGCTCTCATCTCTGACAACAAGAGAGAAATAATGTGAGAGAAAAGAGAGATGGAGTTAGAAAAAAAACTCTGTATGTAGAGTAGAACAATTAATTCTCAATTGGCCCACTAATGTCCAGACAGATACAGTATGACTCCACTCACACACACACACACAGACACACATAGCGACCGCTAGCTGACCCCACAGTGGGGAGATTTATCATCACATCTGTCCTCCGCGCATGAATGTGTGTGTTCCTGTGTGTGTTTTCGTGTTGTTATCTGGACAAGATTCTTGTTTTTTTTTTTCATACTGATGGAAGGAAGCACATAGCGGAGAAAAGAGAGAGAGAGAGAGAGAGAGAGAGAGAGAGAGAGAGAGAGAGAGAGATGGAAGGAACAACGGAGGAGTCGAAAACAGGAAGTTTTTAATGGTGATAAAGAGACACGCGCACACACTAACACGTTTCTCTGCATTGATATGAGGCTGAGAGATTAGGTGTGTGTGTGTGTGTCTGTGTTCCATAATAAAATATGGGTATCAGCATTATAGTCTACCTCACTGCAAGTCTGCCCTCCAACAGTCACAAAACCACAAGTGTAAAGTATGCATGCTATGTGCATGTGTGTGTGTGTGTGTGTGTGTATAAAACGAGGCTGCATGGATTAGACCCATGGGGTAAATGGATCATGTTTGACAGACTTGCTGTACTAAAGCCATCTATCCACACATGCTAATATTGTACTCACTGTGGCGACGTCTTGCCTCACTCTGTGTGTATGTGTGTGTGTGTGTGTGTGAGAGAGTGAGAGTGAGAGAGAGAGAGAGAGAGAGAGAGTAAAGAGGAGAGAGGGTGGTGTCTTCATACATCCTTTCTCAAGACATGTTGAAATTGTCTACTGAATGTTTTAATTGTTTCATGTTGGTTAATTGGTTGTTTGACCAATAAGTTTCATGAAAATCAATTTAGCTCGTAACTGACAAACTTTGCAAACTTTCAATGTTTTCCTAACAAGGTTACTAGCAAAATGGAAAAGAAATAAGATAATACAATTAACTTAAAGTCATTCTCATGAGAGATTCTGTGCTGTTTTGCTCAAGGGCACCTCAGTGCTGGTAATCAGGAAGAGGCGAATCCTCTTTGACTTTCCCCGACGCTACATACAGTGTCTTGTCGGTCCAGGGACTCACACTGAACATCCACTTCTTCACAAGGCTACTGCTGCCTCCAACAGAGTCAACCTACAGCACATCCACACCTACTTTATCTTTGCTCATATTGCAGCAACAAATGACAAGACTCTGTTACACTGCCTGCTGTGCATGGACCAAGGAGGCAGAAAAAACATCCAGCCTGAGAGACAAGCATAACACTTAACATGTTGACTCATATGTGCCGCTCTAGTGACGGTCATGTGCAATTTTTGAATTTTTGTCCTTGTGAAAAGTTAAAGTTAATCGATCTGTTATGTGATAGTTTCAGCAAACCAAGAACAGACATTGGATTTAATATAGTGACAACAGCCTTCTTTTATAATGAATCTGTGGACAATGTGTGAAGTCCAACAGTGACCCAATCACCAAGCTCATATGTCAGTCAAACCTACTTTGTAATCCTCATGTGTTTATATTCAGGTTTATATTTGTGTCTATTTTTTTTGGTGCATCCTTCTGTTTCTTCTACTGATGTGAAGCCTTAATACAGGAGTCATCAAAGGTTTAATCTGACCTGGTCTTCTCTGTGATCTCTCACTGTGACTGAGTGAGTGTTTGTGCGAATTAGCAAATAAGTGATTTTTGGAGGCATTTTGTCAGACTGACAGACGTGTCTTTCTGTCCCAGTTTTCACTGTTCTGGTGACGTCTATAATTACTGACAGATGTTAGCGGAGTCAGAGGTCCCCTCTGGATCCCCCCACCTTCACACAACACCACACACACACACACACACACACACACACACACAGATTGAGACACACATGCAAAAAAAGCTAGACCATTGCTTTTCAAACCTCCCACACAGAGACTACAACTCTCCACACTCACACATAAACATGAGTGTGAGGATATGCAAGTACACACACACACACACACACACACACACACAGAGTCAAACACACACATGCAGAGGGATTCAGTTACATGGACCTTAGCCACAATCTGGACAGACACCGGGCCCACCACTAAACAGCCTCATAGAGGGAGGGAGAGGGCTGGATGGATTTAACAAAACACACACTCCTCTCACACACACACACACACACACACACACAGAAAAACACACACACACACACACGCACGCGTGCACACATACACCCACACACTTTCAGTTTGATGAATGAAATCAATAAAACTACGGTCTGAAGAAATCTGGAGCCAATGAGGACTGGAACAGGACTATTAGTGAGGGAGAGGCCCCACACGACTGAACTCACTCTCACATACACGCACACACACGCACGCATGCACGCACACACACAAACACACAAACACACACACACTCACTACCGGGCATACCTGTAGAGAAAAGGCTCTGAGCGCTGGGATGGGAATGAGGGCTGCCATGAAGAATGCTGTAACGTTACTGATGGACGTGAGAGCCACGCTGGCCCCTGTCCTCTTCAAACACTCCCCCGTACGGTCCTGACAGAGACAGAGAAGGAGGTAGATGAAAGCAAAAGCAATAAAACTCATCTCTTCTAGCCAAAGGCAAATGTGTAATACTTGCGATTATGAACAATTATCATAATACTGATATGACTGACAGTGATTGCAATGTTTTTTGACGCCCTGAAGGACTTGGATGATCCACCTGGGCCTGTCTACTTCTGTCTTCAGAGTGGAGGAAAAAGGAGAATGACCAAAATGACCTGCTGCCTCTCCAAACAAATCAATTTTCGGTGAAGTAATTACTGCTGGATAACTTGTTTTAATGTTTCTTATAGTAAATACACAGAAAGAGAGTAGATATAAATATGCACACACACACACACACCCCCCTGAAAAGTTTGGCGGCAGTTGTATGAAGATGTGAGGACGTGCAGGACCACACAGGGAGTGTTTGCAGGCGTGTGTATCTTTGTGTGTGAGTCTGTGAGTGTGTGTGTGTTTGTGTGTGTGTGTGTGTGTCAGACAGGAGAGATCAGGTTCAGCTCTGTTTAGTTTTCATCTCAGCCACACAAAGGAAGCTGGGGGGTGCGGGGGCATAGAGACGAGGGCTAGAAGGAGAGGGAAGCAGGGGAAAACAAAAACAAGCAAATACATGCCTGTGTTTTCCCCCGGTGGAGATGAAAAGTTTTCCCGCCCCCCCAAAAAAACACACACACACCCATGTGAGCTTACAGAAATTTACACTGTTTACAGTGGGGTTTTTTTTGTTGTTGTTTTGGTTGCAATTAATTCTGTATGTGCACTGATCTGCTAGTGAGGAAAATCTTCTTGGTACTGTCATAATACACACTTCTATGAGGACATGAAATACTTTCTTTTATTGTATTAAACCACATTATAAGCATCTGACAAGTATTTCAGAACCACTCATGAGCATTTATTTAGTGCAAGCGACCTAATATTCATCCAAGTGTGTGACTGAAAAAAAAATCACAAGGTCAGGTCGTTGGGTCAGATAATACATTTCATCTTGCAACCAACTACTGACAAAAAAAAATGGAAAATATTATGTTAAATGGAAAAACAGAATTCATTATCTAATACAGACTGCAATGGTTGCCGTTCTGTTTTCAAAAAAAAAAAAGGAACACATTTAATGTGGAGATTAGATAAGCAGGCTTTGTGTGTGTGTGGCACATGGGTTGTTTGATGCTACATCACAGGCACAGACAGGCTTTCACACATTCCTCTATAGAGGAGATAAGATAGCAGAAGGGGCAAGAACAGGGTGAGCAAAAAACGGTTGAGTGTGGATGTTAAAACTCACCTCGAACGGGATCCTCTTGTTCTGTCCGGTCTCACTGAAGGCGTGAGCGAGGAGGAAGACGTCATCGACTCCAACTCCCAGAGCCAAGAAGGGTAGCACCTGTGGCGCACACGCACACACACACACACACACACACTTCATGAGCTTCATAGGACACAAAGAGTAATACAGCCAGTGTGACCGTTAGACACAAGATACTGTAACTCAGCTATACAGTCCTAGAGGCACGAAAACAAGCCTATAATATACAGCAGATTCTAATCCTGACATAGAGTATAAACTTATGACTTAATAACTACAACATACAGCCCTGCAGAACAACAATTAACTGAAAAAAAAACTGTCTAGATGAATCAGTAGGTCTTGACCTTTACAAACCAACAGACCGGGTCACCTGTCCAGTGGCATGTGTGGGAGTTACCTGTGTGGTGGCAGCGTTGAAAGAGATGCCCAGCAGAGAGCAGAGACCCAGGCCAGCCGCCACAGACAGAGTCACCAGCAGGACACCTGCCAGCCCCACGGCCCCCTGAGACTTGGCGCAGTCCCACCGCAGCATGGTCAGACACGCATAGGCCAGCTGGACACGAACAACAGACACGTCAAGTCATTTAATTAAAAATCAACCTATCGCGTGAGTAAGTCACTCGTCACAATGAAAGCCTTTCTATGGCTTCGGTTCTCACCATCAGCAGGTATCCACTAGCCACACGGATGACGCTGATGTCAGAGAAAGACTTGAGGATGTCCTCCAGGGTGGTGGTGGTGAAAGACAAGACCTTCTGAGACGAATTTGCTGCCACACTCTGCAGCACCGCCTAGAGAAAGAGAAAGAGAGAGAGAGAGAGAGAGAGAGAGAGAGAGAGAGAGAGAGAAAACATAAAACAATAAGATACAGAGAGGAAAACGCTTCTGATGATCTAAGGTTGAAGCAGCATGACTCTGTTTTAAATGGTCAGATATTGTGTTCACTTATAATGAGCTATTGCTTTTTCTAAGAGCTTTGTTGTTTTTTTTTTGTTTTTTTTAACTAAACCACTGCAGGTCTCTACACAATAAAGTCCAATAAAATATTTTCCTCCCCACAACATCCTTCCCTTACTTTAAGAGTGCAAATTTGCAGCAGTTCTCCATGTGCATTTAAAGCCTCTTATTACAACATCTCCGTACATTTACACGGTCCTGCCTTAATGTATTCCTCGAGGACAGAGGTGCATTTCACTGATTCAATACAAGCTGCACCATAGCGCTCAGGAGGTAGAGCAGATCGTCCGCTTAGCATGTTGAAGTGTCCATGGCCAACATAACTGCCCCCAATGTACCATCGGCTAGTGAATGTATGTGAAAGCGTTGCCCTGTATATATAAAAGTGTGTACGGGTGAATGTGACAGTGTAGTGAAAAGCGCTTTGAATGGTCGTTAAAACTAGATAAGCTTTATATAAATACAGTAAATTTTACCATTCAGATGACATACAAACTGCGCTTCCAGTCCGTTTTCTTGCCAGTTTGATAAATAACATTTTACATGTATGTCTCCAGGTATAGAATGAGTAAATCTCACCCTGTGTGTTGTAAAAAAACACAAAGACAAATCGCACCCCTGAATAATGAGCTCTGCCTCTGTTGTAGGAGGTATTTGGGGGGAATCTGAACAGTACCATGACCCATCCTCTCCCTCTCTCACTATCTCAGGGCAGACAGATGGCTTCAACATTGAACTGTAGTTACTGCTCAGTGGGGAGCGATGCTGGCTGACACACATTAGGAAACACGCACTAGATCACACACACACTTGCACCCATGTGTGAACTCGCACATGTGTCAGTCACATACCGATATGCATGCACATGCTATTCTTGCAGACACGCCTAATTGTGCATAATGCACACCAAATACACACATGCATGCACACATGCACGCACACACACACACACACACACACAAAAACAATTTGGCATCTTTTACATCTTCTATGATTGCCATTGATATAAACTCTATTCAAATAAATGCTCACACCTCTTTTCTATCACTGATTCCTGGGCCCCAAGATGAATGGCGCGCAAACACACACACACACACACACACACACACACACACACACACAAGGTCACACCATGTCGAACAGAGGTTGGGGCCCCCAAAACAAAGACCAGATGATGTCACACATGAGCCACCAATGGGGCCACAGCTGGGAAAGCAATTGTGTGTGAACTTTTGAGTGTGTTTGCATGTGTGTTTGTACGTGAGTACGAGAGAGAGAGAGAGAGAGAGAGAGAGAGAGAGAGAGAGAGAGGGGGAGAGAGATCCAGTACTCCCTTAATGTATTCCAGACATGCTCTCCCTGTTGCTCTATTGCTCCTCTCTACTGAGCAGTGAGAGGGAAGCTTTAGCCTTTTACCACACACCAACAGTGGTTGTAGTATCTATCAAGGGCCAGGGCTTTGGATGGGGCCTTTCCATGTTCACCTGTATCCGGCCAGTGATTTACAATGTGGTTGTAGAGGATTTAGGGTAGATTTCTTTTCCCTTTTCTCTTTCCTTGCCCTCTCTTTCTGGATCTCTCTTTCTCTCTCTCTCATTTCTGAGCGCTTTGGCCCTCACCTCAGAGTATCTCCTCTGCCAGGCTTCCAGTATAGCTGCAGCCTTTTCTTCATTCCAGTTGATGTGGGAAACCGCCTCGTAGCCCCGAAAGTGCTCAAACATCTGCTTGGGAGTCATCAGCTGGAACATGGTCTGTAAGGCCTGGGCACTGGAAAGAAGGGAAGGAGGGAGGGTGGCAGAGTGAGAGGGAGGAAAAGATGGAAAGGATGAAAGAGGGAGAACAAAAAGAGGGAGGGTCAATGAGGTGCAAGACTTCGCTGACAACATCAAGTTTACACTGGAAGATCAACGAGGCAGCAAGCTGGCTTTCTGGATTGTGCAAAGAACATCAACAAGGGTTGAAGCTTGGATTTCCAAATGCACGGGACACACCAATTACTATTTTTGTTTGATTCCCATCACCAGCAAAAGGATTTGGGTTATTCAAACTCAGTCCATAGACAAGAAGTGCAAGCTTTGAACACTTGTGGCTACCCACATTGGTTGTTTTGCAAAATAACACAGTCCATCAGGAACCCCAAATCCAACAGGGAGACGAGAGAAGCAGAGAAGATGGAATAATCCCGAAAAGGCCCGAAACTCAAAATTTAATTTCTAAACCAGAGGTCCCAGAGAGGATGCTAATTTAACCAGTAAAAAGAGAGGGGAAAAAAGAAATACATCAAAACCACAGCACCTGGAGCACGTTGGATAACAGTCATCATAAACAATGTTGTGTTAAGCACACCTGCCGCTTAATCATAATATTGTTCCATCTGATTTGACTGCTGAGCCAAGAATACAGATGCCCACAGCCATGAAACGTGCTTCATTTGCCACAAGCCGCACAGCACAAACGTCCACTTGTTCAGTTTGTCTAAAAATATTCATCCTCTGGCTACAAACAAACATTATTTTCACTTCACATAATATATGGATTGTTTTTTGATTGAAGAAAATAGTCAATTACAATTATCCAGAGTCCAAAGTAACATGTTAAGTTACAATAACCAGAGATATGACATTTACAGATCTATAAAACAGAAAAGCAGCAATACTAATCATCATTTCAGCTTCATAAATGACTTATACGATTAGTCGATTACCGACATTGTTATTAATTTTCTGTCCATGATGAATATATTGTTTCAGTATTCCTTGAGACACCAAAAACTAAACCAATTGCCAGCATGTCGTCTACCTAGATATGTGGAGCCAACATGCCTTAAAGCATATACAATATCTGATCTTCTTTTTTCACTCCAGATCACACGTGGAAATGGAAAAGATTAATTTATTTTTATTTTTTTATGTATTGACCGAATTTGATAGTCAGAGGATTTCATGACAGAGGAAGTGCCGGATCCCAGAAAACAGGTATCTGATCCCAATCTGTGAGGTTCCTGATCATGTTCGGACAAATTTTCAGAGGTATCTAGTGTAATGAGGAATGTGTAGTTTTAGTGTGCACATTAGGAAGGTAATAAAGCAATACAGCTGATTAGTCATTAATAAATGACTTTGGACTAGAGTGCAACTTCGGAACAGTAGTCAAGTCAGTCTATGTATTTTCAAATCATCAGGTTTTATGAACCAGAGGAGTAGACATTAGCTAGTCGTTCTCTTTATGAATGTGATCTCTGTAATATGGTGATAATCACGGTAATGGTGGCAGTTAGTAAACAAGATGTAGAAATTGAGTGCCAGCAGTAACAGCCCAGTGGACAGAGCAGCTAAACCACATACATATACAGACACACACACACACACACACACACACACACACACACACACACACACACACACACACACAGACATATCCACACTCACACAGGCAGGCAGGCACGCACAGACACCCTAATGACCCAACCTTGCCAGGAAAAAACATAACCACAAAACAAACAACGCACCCCACTGTACTCTGTGACCAGTACGTGTGTGCGTGTGCGTGTGTGTGTGTGTGTGTGTGTGTGTGTGTGTGTGTGTGTAGGTTGTTTTGCCTTTTGTGTGTACATGCATGTGCATGCACCATCCAATCTGCAAATTTAACATTAAAATAAGTGGACCATTAGCAAAATGTTGGATAATTTGAGTAGCTTTTCCCTGTTAAAGGAAGCTTCTTATTGCTTAATAAAATGTGTGTATTTCATGTTTTATATTTATTTAAAAATAGTGTGTAATACAGTAAATGACTAAATGTAATGTGTTCTGTTATGGAGGGCAAACAGCTTATTTCACACATAAAACTCCATATATGTCCATAGGTATACCACATAATCTATAAGCTTTGTCTTGGTGCTTGTGCTGGAATTAAGATCATGTACCTCAAATCACTGTATATTTGGACAAACTAGCCAGGCAATAGATCACTCTGTGCACATGTGTGTGTGTGTGTGTGTGTGTGTGTGTGTGTGTAGGAGTGGGCAGTGTCCAAGCAGAGCAGCCAGAGCTGAGCAGGAACAGCTGGAGCTCTAAGATTTCACTGGAATCTGCTAATGACTGCAAGATTTACAGCACACGGCGCACACGCACGCATGCATGCGCCGTTTCGGAGAGCATAAAAGAACAAAAAAACACACTCTTTCCAGAATAAGCGCTGCAGTGATCACAGCAGTGTTTATGAGGGTGTGTATGTGTAAGTGTGGGTATGTTACCTGAGCAGGGGTCCGCTGCCGTTCTTGGTGGTCCCTCCTACGATCAGTTCCTCCTGCCAGTGCATGTACTTCCTGGACAGACCATGGCAGCCGCCGCTCAGGGTTCGCGCCACATCGAATGGCTGTCGCAATAAAAGCAACATGTGAGGAAATGACTGTCAACAGCTAAAGAAAACCTGTTTTACCAAAACACATAAATGTTCCATTTACACACAGATATTCCAAGCCAAAAGTGTGAGCCTATGTGTGTGCCTACCTTGGTTGAGTTCTTATTGGGCGCGGTGAGGGGGCAGTCGGGGTCAGCGGGGTTGAGACAGGGTCTGTCCATGTAGCCGTGTCCAACGTCTGCCTTTTCCAACATGTCCTCAAAGGCTTCCACGGGGAAATTTGCTCTTCGCAAGTCCTCAAGGAAGTCCTTAGGGTCAAAGTTGGTCCATTGCAGAGGGTCTTTACCTCTGCAAAGTTAAAAATAAATAGGAAAACTGTTTTTACTTTTACTTTAACCGTGTTAAATTTACTCCAACGATAAGTGTATTTGTACTTCTAGCCATCCTTTGTACTCGTAATCACAAGATCGTACTCACAAAGTCCCAATCTACCATACTAACCAACCCTAGCTTCCTTATGACTTATTTACACCCTGTCTGATTGACCGCTTGTGTTTCTCAGCCAGTTGGACTTTCTTGTAGCAATACTGCCGCGTTTCCAGATCTCTGTGATAACATCGATGAGTATATTCATCATACCTGACGGAAATGATGGCCAAAACTGTGACAATAACTGAAATTGCTTATTAACCGTTTTATCGGTTTCAGTATTTGTTGTGTTTGTTTTGTTGTTCATAGGCAAATTAAACTCCTTAGGCTGATTCTGATTAGATTCTAGAAAATATTAGTTCACGCAGACACTTGTTTAATTAGACGCAACAGAATTGTAAAGGGAGACGGACACAAATTCCAATTTCTGAGAGCGGGACATAATCTCTTTCTCGCTAGGTGACACAAAGCGATAAATGGAGACCAATTCCCATCATGCAGTGGCACGGTGCTAAATTCCTGCTCCAAACCAGTCCTTGTCCCTCTATGCTCTCTCTGCCTCACACATTCCAATCTCTCTTTCTCTGAATCTCCCTCTCTCCGTCATTCAGACTACATTGTATGTGCTTAACCAGGCTTGGGTTATTATTCCCAGCCTCCCAACCAGAACATAGTAAAAACCTTATTTACCATCTGAGACCAACCAAGCAACACACACATACACACCATATTCACATAGTCCGATGACAGCGACTCAAGCTGATACACCCTCACACACCGACAAAACACACGTATATTGCATTGACGGCAATGGCACATACACACACACTATGTGCGTGCACACACACATGCAGAGGTAAAGGTCTGCTGAGTATTACTGTAGCAGCAGGCCATTAGCAACAGAAGGGCCAGACAATGGTGTGAGGCCCAGGGCTGGAGAGAAACTATCGCCAGCGATACGCATGCCAGCAACCACTACAATAGAGCCTTCAGAGGGGACGAGTTCAGGACACACACACACACACACGCACACACACTCTTGTTCCTCTGTGGTGTCTCTTTGGATGGGTTGAGCATGTTTGGGCAGCCTCTACTAAAGGGGCAAAAACAAGATCTAGAGATCCAGATCTCCTCCTCCTCCTCCTCCTCCTCCTCCTCGCTATCCGTCTCGAAAACAATCTGAACATACCGATACTGTTACCATATACACTAATTTCATAACCAGCACTCACAAGCTCAGCGTTCGAGATCTTATTGTCCCCACGCATCATTTTTGCCAGCAGGCCTCATTGTGAGGAAAGCTCTGCTCAATTATGATTAAAAAAAAAAGAAAAAGCATTTGATCATTTGACCTGATGATAGTGCTTTAAAGAGATTGGTCAATCTAATGATATGCTGGGTTGGCATGTTGTGATTGTGCTGACACATCATAAAATACAGATTCTGTCTAGTAAAAGGGAGTTTTGTGTACTTACGGGAGATAGACCATTCCAGACTGGAGCTTGGCTCCCTCCCAGAAACAGTCCAAAGGGGTGATGATGAGGCAGGGATGTAGCTTTTCTATGATCTAATTGGATGAACACACACACACGCACGCACAGCACACACAGCAAAAGAGACACAAATTGACAGCGGGAAGTTGATTTGAGGGAAAAAAAAGCAGTAAGAGACAAAAAAGTAGTGATTGCATTGATGATGTCCTGATAAAAATGACTTGACAATACTTGACATGCTAAACCTTTTGCGTCTTACCTGATCCATAAAATGAGTTTCTGTGACTAGTTCTCCTGATTTGTAGCATAAGTGTTCTAATTTCCATTGTCTGAAAAGGAGAACAAAAAAGTTTCTGTTTAGTTTTCGTAATGGCCATATAACAGCTGGAGCCCCTCAGGCTAGACTGATGATAAAAAAGAATGATAAAAAACAAGTGGTAATAAATCTTTTGTCATCATGAGGGGCTGCTAGCCAAAACACACCTGAATACAGACACACAGGTATGCTGTATATCTGCATATACTGCATCCATACACATAGATGAGATGGATAAAATATTGGACACAGCAAAGTGTTATGCAATGAAATATAAAGCAGAAACTATGATCTTAAAGATTACCACAGTCGTCTCTTTGACACATGTCAATAGAAAATGAACATTGTTAGCTTCACACATCTGTTGTATCTGTTATTTGATCTAAACATTTGCCCTTTGAGGCAAATTTGTGATTTTGGTCAAACTGACTAGACTTAAACTGTCCAGAGCTGGAAAATACGATGGTTAAATTACAGATAGATGTGAATCAAAACCATGTCACCTGTTATAAAGGTAAACATGAACTCTGCTGGCTCGGATAGCTGACTCCAGGTGCTGCAGGAGTGCGTCCACCGTTAGTACATTGGCTCCCTCCTCCCGCGGCGTCTGGATCATCAGCTGAGGGTTAAACATGGCCTCCTCGCCTATCTTCTGTCGCGTGTACTTCAGTTCCTGGTTCACACGCCCACCAACTGGAAAAAGAAGAGTGAATGTATTTAAACCTGCAAATCCGAACCCTCTGCGCAAATATCCAAACACACTGTAAGAAATAATTAAAGTACTTTATGCTGGCTTTGAAAACCATGAAATCTATATAACAACTACAAATATTAACCTTTCTAACGTAATTTTTCAATAGCTGAGACTCATATCTAACACAAAAGCACTTTGTTTACAGTGAGCTTGTACCAGTGCAATGCCAAACATCCTCAGTCCTTTGAACCCAGAAGACTAACATCATCCAACAAATCCACATTTCACAAAAACAGCTCAATGTTTCTACTCAAATTTGCTAACAAGTCAGCAGTGCCAGACCACATTGACTGCATATGTGTGTGTGACAGTATGTGTGTGTGTTTGATAAAGAAGAGAGAGAGGCTCTCTTCCAGGCTTTGCTCCCAGTATCGTGGTGGGACTAAGCCCTGTGCGTGCGCTCTAAGCTCTCAGCTAGCCCGAGCTACAAAAGCAGCCTTTCAGGCCCTTTAGCTGCCCTGCTCCACCCCAGTACAGCCAAGGCAGGTCTGGCAAAGTCTCTCTCACAAACACACGCACGCACGCACGCACGCACGCACGCACACACACACACGCACACACAAATGCAGGCAATTGCAGTCATGCAAGCATGGGCAAAGTCTCAAATTTTCTGTAAAATTTCAGAGCTATATAAAAGTATGTGTTTGCATGTTTCAGCCTCAATTTAGCCTGAGATTTGCGCATGTGCCTGCGTGTGCATTCTTCAGTTCAGTGTATGTCTGATTTACAAGCAGAGGATTTGACCCCTTCTGTCATCAGTGACTGAATGCTCTGTGAAAGATCGGACAATTTATAGTCATGTTCTTTCACTTGCTCACAGACATGCACGCACGCATGCACACGCGCACACACACACACACACACACACACACACACAAAACATGAAAAATGCCCAGTGAGAGAGCTAACTGTGTGAAAAATCTGTAACATTTTATTATGCCTTAATCCAATTGAACAATTCCGTTCAATTCATGCAAGAGCAGGCATAGATTGAATATTTTCAGCCCATTGTAATGGCATTAAAGTTGAACATAAGCATGCCTGTTCTGCTGGGCTGGACCACCCAGTCAGACCAATGGAACAGGGAGGGAGGGGGCCATGTCTTGGGGCATTAGGAAAACACACTTGATTTCTTTTTTTCTGGACCCAAACAGCATTCCCATCTGATCCTGTCTGAAGGCATGTTTATAATACTCATCATTAATAGCAGGCCTGGGCTAACTGGAGCGACATGCTTTCCACTGCTACGCCAGCTACACCGCTACGTTACACCAGCCCTCCCTTCAAAAAGAGCAGGCATGGAACTGATTTAGATCCGACGCACGCTGACAGTGCACTAACAAGTCCACTTGTCTGGTACACCGTCAGCGCTCAAAGGCAAAGCTGGCCCGAGGCTCAGTTTAACTGCAGTGCCAAGAGGAAAAAGGGGAACACAAGGTATAGAGAAAGAAGCGCATCCGTTTTCAGTGTGTTTCTACATGTGTGAGGAGATGAAGAAAGGCCTGATTGAAAAAAAGAGATGGGAGGATCGTCTTTAGAACTCACTGTCTGTTCTGAACCCTTTCCAAGTTGTGGACTGCCACCCAAAGACCTTGGGTTTACAGCAAGCAGCAAGGAATGGGACAAGTCAAGGAATGCACTCTCTCTCTACAGGAAACAGCACATTACGGCCTCAGGCTTAGAGAATTCCACACTTCACGAGGTTACAGCGTTTTGGGGTCAACACTCACACAGCCTTGGGGTGAAATTAACACCCCAGCTGGACCAAGAAAATATGTGTGAGTGCATGTGTGTGTGCGCACTGGTGTACATGCGAGCATGTGCGAGAGTGTGTGTGTACACACAGCTGTGTTTCTTCAATGACACATATTCCCATATTCCTTCTCCTAAGAAAACTGGTTGACCCCGGCATGTGTTGATATCTTGAAGGTGTCCTGCTCCAGGCTCAGCTGCTGTGACCTAAAACAAAGTGTCACTGACTTTTAAAATCCTTCCCATACCAGCTCTATTTCTAACTCTCTCATTTGTATTCTATCCAGCCTGCATCACTCTCTCCTCTTTCAGCAAATTCACTTTGATGGTTGATTATTCTTTTAGTCATGTGACGTTACCAAAAGCTCAAAGTGAGGCCTTAAATGTGCTCAGCTGCTCTGATCAACAGCCAAAAAAAAAAAAAAACGAACTAAAAGTTTGAACTCCAAGTTGGACAAAACAAAAGCAGCAATTTGAATATTTAATCTGGGCTCTGGGTACTCCAGGGATGGAATTTATTATTATTTTTGGTTGTATTATAGACAGAATGATGATGAAATGGTTGTTAATCATTTATCTGATCCTGTCAACACTGCCTTACATCGGCATTCTCTGTAATCCAGACACATGTGAAGAGTTAATGTGCGCTGCCACCTGTGTATGTGTGTTATTTATGTGTATGTGTGTTATAGTGCCTGTGGAAGCATCACTAACGATTGATTACCTCTCAAAAATAGGACTACACAGGAAGAGAAGAGGAAGAGAAGAGAAGCAGGTCTATGTGTGTCACTGTATTTGAGCCCTCAGTGTGGGTATTCAGTGTGTTGCATAACATTAACCCCTGGTCCCCCCTATTCTCAAAATAGGGGAACGGGGGGCGGTGGGGACGAAGGGAGAGAAAGTAGGTTTCTAAGGAACTGACATCACCCCCTCCCTCCTTTCAATTCTGAACCCCCCCCCCCCCCCTCTTTATACTCTCATTTTCTCTCTCTTTGCTCTATTCAGCTCTACTCTGTGATTGGCCAGATCATGATGGCAATCAGCCTGGCCCCTCTGTCAAAGCCAGCCCACCCTCCTCTCCCCTCGCCAACTTTCTCTCTTTTCCATGCAACACACAACAGCAGAGCCCCACCCCCTGCACATCACTGACGCCTGACAACGGAAGCATCTCACACTTTCAAGGAAAACACGCAGCCACCAGTGGCAAACAACTCTTACAACTCTCGAGTGTGACGCTGGTACGAAAACACACTCTACGCTCATACTGTTCGTACAAACATTACACCTCCCACTGACAGGAAAAGCAACGACGCCATCTCTAAATGTACCTGAATATATTTGCACATATAATGATAAATAATTAAAATACTTTTATTTCCCTTCTATTAGCAGATCTAGAATCAGTTTGATGCCACCGCGACTTTCACCACCAACAACAGCGATCTGATATAATATATGACCTTGCTACAAGAAGCTACGGGAGTATACTGTACGTGCATGTGGCTGAACACATCTTTGTGTGTGTGTGTGTGTGTGTGTGTGTGTGTGTGTGTGAGAGAGTGTGTGTGTGTGCGTGCAGAGAAAGGATTAGCTGGATTAAGCCCCCTCTCAGCAGGGACCGCCTGTGGTGAGGAGGAAGCCCCCCCAAAACCAGGTCATCTCTCTGCCACCAAGTCTACAGCGACCTCCCATACCCCACGCCCCATATAATACCGCCAGAGGAATGGAGAACACCTACATGAGGATGTGATCTGGAAAACTATTTCCCCCCAAAACTGCGTAAAGCTTTTTCAAGCAGACGCTTCCTGAAAGAATATTTTAACCACATCAAAATATGAAAATACATTAATTTTATTTGGATGCAGATGTTTTCTTTTTTTTTTTTTTTTAAATTTACACAACAGGATTAAAAATGACTTCAAATGGGAAGTGACACCTGTTGCGTGAGATGTAACGTATTGTGTATTTTCACATGACTGTTTTCAGATAGAAGATGATAGAAGACGAAGGTGTCGTCACCTTCATATCCAGTACAAGCTGGCGTAAAGGGTTTCGTTTGGAAAATCAGATACAGAGTTGCTTGATTCTCTCTATCATACATACAATATATCTTTGACCTGACATCTTAGTCCCTGTGAGTGGGCAGTCCGTCAGGTACGCCACCACACGTCAGCATACAGAGAAAATTCAAACAGACATACCAACTTTGAGGAAACCTGAAGACACAGCTGCTTATAGTAGGACTACTTTAAAGTAGCTGTTACCCAAGAAATTAAAGAAGAATTCATAGACGATATAATGTAATTACTAATCCTGTTTGCAAAACGTGTCTCATTTGACCTCACTTGGTCTCTCCTGGTCATTCTGTTCAGGTAAGAGTTTCCCACAGTTAAGTCCCCACCTCACAGTTACCACCTTCTCTTTTCTTCTCCTTCCTGTTCATCTCTGTCTCAGCTGCCACCGCCAATCACCTGACAGAGCTTTGATCACAGAGGAGAACCCACCTGTTTTCTTGCTGAACAACCCTGCCTCTACCTTCTTCCATCTGCCGTCACTCTGTGTCCGTCCCTCCCTCCATCTTTTCCTGCCAAGTAAATATCTGCCGCCTCATAGTATTACTGCTCTATCTTGATAGACTCATTCAAAGCCTCAAGTGCCTGCAGGCATGACTTAAGGAATCAAGAATTGATGATATTGTGAAAATGTGATGTGTGCATCACTTCTAATTATGATCCAACAATATCTAACAACAAAATTCAATGTGCCACAGTTTCCTGTCAAAGTAACAACTTCTGACAGAAACAATCTGCTCGAGTTGTTGGTTTTCTTTAACCACTGAGCAACACAAGCAGACTTCTCTGGAATCAGAATAATATCTCAAGCCTTTCCATCGGATCCTGGACTGCATTAGTAGAAGAACAAAAGTGTGACCTCACCATCCACCATTCTTTTCTTCCTCTATCAAAACCACAAAATACTTGAATAACACTGCAACAACTGGTCTGCTGCTTATGCAATATCCATCTTTAGCAAGTGGATCTTGATTCCCCCTTATCCTGCTTTCAGTACTTTTAGATTAAGGGCAGCTTGCTCTCTCTCTCTCTCTGTTGTAGCAGCAAGTGGCCAGAGTGCTAACAATAAAGCAGCATACACAGTAGTATGCATAGGCTGTAATAGAAGTTTTGAA